AAGGAGCCCACGCCACAGCCCAGCTCCCGGCTAAGGAGCCCACGCCACAGCCCAGCTCCCGGCTAAGGAGCCCACGCCACAGCCCAGCTCCCGGCAAGGAGCCCACGCCACAGCCCAGCTCCCGGCATGATTATGAAGTTGATTTACTTCATAAGTTGACAACTTGAACTTTATCAATTTAAAATGCTTACCATTATGAAAATTATGAAGGATGACGCCTTTTTACAGTATAGTGTCCTCATCACTATACTGGGGCATTAGGACCCACACAGACCACAGGGTGAGCGCCCCTGCTGGCCCCACTAACACCTCTGCCAACAGCAACCTTAGTTTTTCCCAGGAGGTCTCCCATCCAGGCCCCTGACCAGGCCAGCACACCTGCTGAGCTTCAGTGGGCTGCCAACTGGAAGCCGCAGGTTGATATGGCTGCTGGAAAAACCTGTGTCCTGACAGGAAATTGAGCACGGAACTTGAGGCGATAGGCACGCACTTAATTCACAGCACTACCGCGCCCTTCTCCTGTTTCTTGCAGTCCTCCCAGGTTCACTGCAGGGAATCTGAAAGTGCTTTTCCTGAACTATAATATTTTTGCTTTGAACATTTTTTGCTCTATTAAAATAAATTATTTGCTCAGCAAATGGATAAGACTGTTTTAGATGTCAACATTAAATGCTCAAGGAAAAACATGCAAAATACACTTCCCTCATAACACTTCGTACGAGGTTAAACGAATCCTGACTTCTCAAAGCCTCCCCGAGAGATCCTGTGACACAGAGAACTGTTCCAACCAAGCCCACGCGAGAAGCCGAGCCACTCACCTGATATCCTTGTGTGAAGGTTCAGCTTCATTTCGCAGTTCCTCTGCTGGGAGGCAGACTGTGAGATCGACACAGCAGCTCTCTGTAAAGCATTGTCAAAGACCTGCAGCACCTCCCTGGGGAAAGCGTTGAAGTACTCTCCGACCTCCATATTGGCTTCGAAAAGGGTCATGGCGTTCACAACGACTGAGCGATGGCCATCTTCCTCACACTCCTCCAGGATGCGGACAATATGGTTCTTGTGGTGCTCCTTAACGTACAGCTCAAATACATTCCCTACAAGGGCGACTTGCTCTGCACTTAACAACATTCTTAACCTGCAGAAGGAAACAAAAAAGGGAACATTATCCTTTTTGTTAGGCATAAAAGGACAAAATCAACTAAAGCAAATAGCAAAAAAAACGTTTTTAAATTAATGCATAATTAATAAACATATTAAAGTTACTGACTCAAGCATCGATCTATTAAAACAAATATACCTTGAAATAATATAACATTGTAATAAACAGTTTTAAATACTTTTACAATAATAATTTGATAAATAATTTGTTGGAAAACCAAAGTTTATACTTTGCAATCAAAAGAACACTTCAGTAGAATGAACTGAAAGCAAAGGCAAAAAACACAAAAGATCAAGAAAGAAAGCCTGCAAAAACTGTTGCAAAAAAACTTTTAACAGCAATTGGTTACTTTCTGTGATTTATTTCTCGATTTTTACAACACTAAATTTGTTAAATAACCTCATCACCCGTGCCCAGTCAACTCACACGGATTTTGATTTAGTCTTTCAAGTGCGTCATGGTCTGTCGTCAACGATTATTTAAAATGACACCTATAGCATTTCAACAACATCCCAAGTCAGAATATTTTCTCTTTCTAAATATACAAATGCATAAACAGATTGGAGTCTATTTTGATGTTCAGTTTCAATTTGCAGGAACTAGTTTACTCCCCTTCTTGCACAGTGTACAACCAATTTTACACAGGTGTGCCTTTGTTTTACGCTCTTCTATTAAAAGTTTTCACAATGTGCCACTTCAGCTATCTACCATTAGAGCTGTGTAAACGTTTCTCTCGGGCGGGTTTCTTCTGCTAGTTTGCATTCATCTCATTAGGTCTGCACTTCCGGAAACGCGCGGTCCGGCGGGCGGTGTAAAACGCCGTCTTGCCGCCGAGGATCCAGGGATGCCGCGACAGCAAGCACACACCTAGTGCGGGCACCACAAGGGCTGTCCAAGCACAGGTACCGCACCCGCACCGATACAGACCGGTCCCTGACCGCAGCCCGCAGCTTGCAAACTTCACAACGCTCTACAAAAGAGCTGGAAGAAACTGACACTGCCGAGTGATGTACTCGGTTCCGCCAGAAACACTGTTGCACCGCGGGCACACGCATTCACGACTGGCCCCTCTCTTCAGGCTGTAACCAGCAGCAGCAGCTGCGGCAATGTCTCCTTCAGTGGTGTCCGCCCAGGCGCAGGCGGTGCACCAGTGCAACAGCAACAGGCGCCCTACCTGTATCCCCCTCGCACCCCGAGCCAGAGCAGCCGGACCGGCACGTCGCGCACATCAGAGCCGCTGCGGAGCGGGGGGGTCCCGGCTGAAAATACCTCCCGCCAAACACGCGTTCTGTGAATTTTACACCGCTGATTATAAAAGGCGAGAACCTCAAGCTTTTCGTGT